CTGATTGGAAGTGGAATAGCGATGGATACACTGTCACGGACCGCATGCCTTTGGCAAATATGCTGACAATGTGGTCATGTATTCGAAAAACGATCCCATGGTAATCCATTCTGTGGACAGGATCCATCGGGATAGAGCTGTCAATACGACTGCTGTGAACGCTTCTGGATAGTGTCTCGGATGGTTTGGAGAGTTTTACTCGTCTTTTTTATGCTCTTTGAGAAGGTTGTAACGTAAACTCAAGGCCTCATTCACAGCACTGTGACAATGGGCCTGATAAAAGGAGAAGAGGCTTTAAAAGACTCGAGCTAACTGTGTACTACAAACGTCCCTCCCGACTACTAGGCCATAAATGTCGGAATCTCTGAGTCTCGTTTTCCCTCTTTCGCTCTTCAGGGATATGGCTGGATGGGCTTTACTGACGTGATTCACTGTTTCTCCTGGAAAGTAGGGCTTTGACTGAAGGTGACTGGGCAAGCTGCCTCGATGAGGTCTTTCTGAAGAGCGAGGAGAGGGAGGGACGCACGAGGCAACTAAGTGGAGCAAGAAGCCTGTAAAGAAGAGCAACTATTAGACTCTTTATTGCCCTAATTAATGCTTTATGGAGCTCTCGCTTTCTTTGAATGTTCCTGTAAGACGCAGGAGGAATGAGAGGGAAGTTGATGAAGTCAGCCAGAGGCATGCTGGGCTTTTAATGCGTGTTGGGCAGGAGTGAATACCGTAGGGAAGCCCTGTCTGTATCCATGCAAACTCACAGCGCTGCCAGAGGAGCCTGTTTTACAAGAAGAGCTGAAACCCCAGGCAGAGAAGTGTACGGGAGATTACGTTGCATGACGTTGTAAATACTAGCCGATCCCATTTATAGACCAGTTTCGAGCCGACGTCACAGTTACGTCACGGCGCTAGCTGGAGGCAAAACAAACGGACAACTGGAGGCGGCCAATACAAACCAGCACAGATTCGGCTACATAATAAGGAGCTTAAATTGTCATTATTATTATTAAATGTCATCTTGTTGTGTTGTTGGGTGCAAGAATCGATGAAAAATGAATGCGTTGTATCTGAAATTTGTATTTCTAGAAAATATTCACATCATTAAAATTGCACCGTAATGTCACTCTTTACATTGTCGTCTTCTCGGCGCTGGCTCGGCAGAACTGCGGATCGTACACACAAGTCTTGTACATGATCATTCATCACATAGTTATAGGCATCTAAAGATTTATATGCCCTCAGTTTCTCTTTACGCTCGGTTTCTCTATCGGATAGGTGTAGAAGTCAGGCCACTCGACCGGAGGTAGCGCTAACGTTAATCCTGTCAGATCGTCCATCCATTGAGTGAGCGTGTCGGGTCAGCCAATCTGGTTCCGTCCGTTAAAATTAACTTTTGCAAATAACAATCGCGGTCCTGGACACTGAGTGACCTTACACATTAAGATAAAATCGGATTTTCTCCAGTCATTGTTAATAAACAAGCCAACAAAAGCCAAATAGAGGTCTCTGCAGACGGTAATAGGAGTTACCAGATCAGGGGGCGAGGCCATAAACAGAGGGGCGTTTTCAACCGCGTTACCTGATTTGCCCACGTCACAGTGTGGGTAGGTCTTAGGGGTGGGGTCGGGAGAAAGGCATCATTTTCATTGCATGATTTATATACACCCACCAGTGTGAAAACACCCACAAATTTAGAAACACCCACTTTTGTTCCACAGAGACCTCCTACTCACAAAAGCGGCCAGAGGGATCGTTCTGCCTCCACCTAAGCTCCGCCCACAAAAAACGTCACCATGTTTACCAACTGAAAATTGGTCTATAGAATGGCTGATATAATGCTGAAATATATAAGATACTTAATCATGGCAAATAAGATGTTTGCAAATTGCTGAATTTAAATTAACACTTAAGGTCCTTTCACACTGAGTCGGACATTTTCGTCTGCGTTTTTTCATATTCGTAATTCGTTGGCTCTGAATTGTCAAAACACACTTCTCAAAATGCTTGCTAGCCTACGGATGCAGAAAACGCAGACAATCGAACCCAATCCGAATTTTTTTATGACGCAGTTTCGGAGGCAGTGTGATTGACACAACGTGAGGTTGTATTTATTTTTTAACGTGCGAAAATTTCGTTCAAAAGTCAAGCAAGATTTGAATATTCTCTTCTGCTCGCCAATGCTGCATTTATTTGTCAAAAATACAGTAAAAACTGAGAAATATTACTACAATTTAAAATAACTTTTCTATTTGAATATATTTTTAAATGTAATTTATTCCATCATTACTCCAATCTTTAGTGTCACAGGATCCTTCAGAAATCATTTTAATATGATTAATATCATTTACTATTATTATCAATGTTGAAGACTGATCAATGTGCTGCAAATATTTTTGTGGAAATTGTGAAGCTACTTTTATGAAAGTTGAAAAGAACAACATTTATTTTAAATAGAAATCTTTTGTGTCATTATGAATGTCTTTACTGTCATTTTTGATCACTTTAATGTGTCCTTGCTGATAAAAAACAACAACATTATTTTCTTTAACCTTTGAACAATAGTGTATTTTACTAAGTAGCCAATCGACTAATAATCTAAAAATGACCAAATATCCGCCCAGTTGTTATTGTGATATGACTTAAATGTGACCCGTGCTGGCAAAATAAGTCCCAATGAGCAAATTTTCAAAAATGTTTTTTTTTTTTTTTACTTTCTCATACCTTCAAAATTATGGAATCAGAAAAAAAATGCCTGAGCTGCACCTGTTTGAAGTCAATAGAGTCAGCAAAGTCAATTTTCGCGAAAAATCGAGTTAAGATTCCAAAATTAAATCACCTAGCAACCATACCTTAAAATCCCAGGTAATAACACCAAATTTGGCACACAATAAAGTCAAACCAAATATATAAGAAAAATACATATTCAACTTTTTTTCCATGATAGCACAATTGTTTGATTAACAGTGATGAAACAGACAGCCTATATTAAGTCCTACTGTACCGCACGGTTCTTATAGAATGATCTACACATCAGATGTTTTCCCCAAACGTTCACATAACAGATAATCTCTGTTATAAACTCGCCAAGACAGATATTTTGAAATACTGTAATTCTGTGTATGTGTGTGTATCGGGATCGGATCTGTCAGTCGGCGTGAGTAATATCGTTTTTCATAGACAAAGGAAAGGTACTCCTCTCAGAAAACATACAAATAAAGATAATTGAATATGTTAAATTGCGATTTGGAGCATTGGGATCGCTAGACGAGGGCTTAATGAACTCATTTTTGTGAAAACCTCAAAATCTATTTTTCACTTGTTTTGCCTGTAGATCGAAATGATCCCGTACGCATTGACTCCTTTTGCCAGCACGGGTCACAAATCTGATATTGAAAGTTCGCCATTCTCATAAAATTGTACTGAATGGTGTTCATCAAGACTAAAGAAATTTACCTAGACTGCAAAAAAGTGATGGAATAAAATAGCATTTTTCAAAATTGGTATGAAGCGTGATTTTTCTAGTTAGTTATAGTTAAACGTCAAAATGATGGGCTTAACGCAGCACAAAACGGTTGTAAATGAAAAGTACAGTCTAAAGACAGCAAAGACAGCTGGTGGTACATGAGAATGGAAAGAGTTAATGTCTCTGGAGAAGATGGCCCTCTCTTGCTTAACGCTCATCAGTCAACAAGTGTCTGCTTTAGACTGCCAGTGGAGCATGGGGAAGAGCAGGAGGGATAGCAAAGAAAGAAAAAGAGAATAGGGACATAATGTTAAAAACGGGTGGAGCGAGTAGGAAGGAGACGGAGGTGCTTCTTGCTGAAATGGCTGTTTTGTCCGTCAGGAACGTAAGCAGACCTTCTGCTCACCAGTTATATAAACTCTAATCTTCTAAATCTCCTCTCATTTGTCCTTACATGCACACAAATTCTCTCTCTCTCTCTCTCTCTCTCTCTCTCTCTCTCTCTCTCTCTCTCTGCTGACTGAACAACTGGTTAATTCCGGGGAGATTTGAGGAAACCCATTCACTGCCAGGATTTGTCGTTTCAGAATGATGGTATTTACGAGATGAGCACATGAACACCACCACAATTACCAGTGGGAAACCCAGGCTTAGGTCTTAAAGAAAGCTTTGTACATCTTTTTTTTTTTTGTGTGACATATTTTTGTCTTGTTTTCCAGGACAAATATCTAAGCATCCTTAAATCAAGATCCATCTACTTCAGAAGCAAAATGACTTAAGATATTAAGTCTTGTTTTCTGGAAAAAATCGATCCAAATTAAGTGAGTTTAAAACGACAAAAAAATCTGCCAGCTTGTTTTCAAAATTAAGTTTATTTAGTGTACCCCATTGCCAGAAAACTTTAAAAACTAAATTTCGATAAATGTTTCAGAACAGAACACCTTATATGACATTTTCTTTCTTAAGTAAATGTATCAAGATATTTGTATTTGAAACCGAGGGAAAAATACAGAGTAAAAAAAGTATGTTTAAACTGAATATTGACCGTACATAATTGAATCTGTGCAAATGTTAAGCTGACTTTAGTTTAGACTGTAAATTTACAAATCTTTGTAAAAACTCTCACAGATAAGATTCCAGTAGATTTGGTGCTAGCACATGTTGCGAAGCTAAAAAAAAAAGTGATGCACAGAAATCAATCATGTAAAAACTGGAAGTAATTTTAATTAAACTATTTTTATTAAGTTAAACAGTTCCAAATTCATTGAAATATTAATATAGTACACATTTCTCTTAACTCTGCCTGCCTTGGATTAGCATAACTCTGTGAAGCACATATGCTGCCAAGCTAGGTATCTTACAAGGCCGAATAATTTGCCTGACTTTGATTTTGAACAGTATTAGAAGTGCCCGTGTTGCCTTAAAATGCGAGCTAGGTTTTGGAGCAGATCTGTCTTTTTGAATGAGCATCTGAAGTGGTCATTTGAAAGTGTTCAGTAATGTCAACGGTCAAGGTGTTTTGGTATCTGTCTGGGTCACTCACCTGTTTTGTGTGTCTGCGTGTTATTCTTGAGGTAATGTCCGTTCCTGTAGATATCCAGCACTTTTTCAAAGTGAACCAGAGTCTCGTCGGTGCCCCATATCAGCTCTCCTGAAACACATTCATACAGCATAAACAACTCAACTATTAACGGTTTACATTCCGTCATTAAGAAAACATTCCTCCGGAGTGATGCTGAAGTGGGCGTTTCGTGACACGGGGAGGGAAAGATAGGATCGAGTCTGGGCCACCCACGCTACCCGCGGCTTCACGGACTGTTGTGTCCCAGAAAAACAGATTTCAAACGCTATCAGACATGCCATTATACTGATGAACATGATGATAGAGCGCATCAGGAAAGGAATTAAGGCCAGAGACAAAAGGCATGCTGACGGACAGAAAGAGAAATGTTGGGATGTGAAGAGGAGGAATGTTTTTAGAGGATGTTTGAACAAACTTATTCTCCTCCATAAAAAGCAGTCAAGTACTTTTTACAAGGAGCACATACACTCCAAAAAATATAGGAATGCATTAAACAACTTTATAAGTTTGTATTGTATTTGTAAAATATAACATTGCATTTCTGCATGAACACAGTTCAATATATTTGCGTAATTGTCTAAATGAATGTGATGAATGTGATACTGTGATTGTTTTATAACGGATGCTCGCCGAAGAGGCGTGTTTTGGAGAGTGTGTGAGGATCAGTGATGTTTATGTACACATGGGCATCAGACGCTCCAAATAAAGACACATTAGCTTGAGTTTTACAATAGACACAATAGAGTTTCCACACGTTCAGAATGTTTTTATCTTTCATTTGTATTTTGGTGTGTTTAATAATTCTGAATGGATCTGTATATATGCAGTCCTTTGGCATCTCGGCTAAAAAGCATGCGCAGGTTACTTTACTTCCTGAACATGCGCACACCCGAGTCCGTGTTGCTTTCACATTCACGCGAATGGCGACACAGTTCGAGTGCAACCGAGCTCAGACCACCTCCTCCAGCTAGTCTCGGGTTCGGTACCCCGGGTCCGCATTACAGCTTTCACATTACCAATTTTTCATGCGAACGTGTCCCGTTCTGAACTAAATTGCCAGTGTGAAAACGCCCAAGTTACTGTATAACCGAGCAGAGTAAGTACTTTTAAGTTGTAAAGAATGTCTGCAGTGACATTTTTGCAAGGTATGTTTGTGAATTTATTTTGTTGAAAGGTAATAAAACTAGAATACAGATGTTTTTGTGAATAAAAAAGGTACAGTATTGATTCGGAGAGGAGGAGGTTGAGAACCAGCCCAGACGGCGACATAGTGTCGGCCCAGATCTGGCCGTGTGGAATCCACGTGTACCAGATGTGGGCCGGATCTGGGCCGACACTATGTTGCTGTCTGGGGCTGGTCTAGATGGTTGATCGGCTAAACTACCATCTGTTGGATCTAGGCTTGGGCTGACATACCACCTCAGACCAGCTAGCAAAACCATCTTGACCACCCTAAGCTGATATGACCAATTTTTACCAGCAGGGATAAGCGCAGAACTTGGGTAGTGAAATCAAACTCACCTGTAGAGTTGACGATTTTGTCCAGAAGGGGTCTCAGTGCTGAGGGGGCACTGTGAGGTAACAAGTAGGTGAAGAAAAATCTAGAAAATATGGAGAACTGTCAACATTTCACCTAAAATACACAAATAAAGCACAAGTCGTATCAGATCTCAGGCCATGAACACACACCTGTAAGCATTGTAGAGGTTCCTCTTTTCGTTGATACCCTGACAGCGGCCCTTGTGGCAGGGGAGGGTGAAGTTGCGTGCGGGGAACTCCATGAGACAGTCTAAAGGAGAAGACGGGGAGCAAGGCGTCTCCTCAACACTGGCGTCGTCCAGGTCGGTCACTTTCAGCACTCCCCCCACCAGAACGAACTGTCGTGGCCTGAAGTCCAGCAGGGTGACGGACCCGAGCGGGGAGTGGGACAGATAATGCAGCAGCCTCATCAGACTCAAACAGATCTGCGGAGAGCAATGTATTATTTTTAGGGCTGTCAGTTAAACGCGTTATTAACGGCGTTAACGCAAACCCATTTTAACGGCGTTAATTTTTTTATTGTGCGATTAACGGTCTTTTTGGCCTAGCAAACTTTGTAGTTTTTTTCACATGCTTTTGCAACAGGACGCGGCATGCGCGGCGCTGCGCTATGAAACCCATTCATTTCAATGGCTTGCGTCGCGCGAGGATGTTTTGAAAGCGCAAGCGAATCTAGCTTAGACCGGAAACAAAATAACAGGCACGACGCACACACTTGTTTTGGCTTGCGAGCCGGCCAAATAGTAGGTTAAAGTTATGTTCTGAGTGGATGAGCGCGAGACGCCGAAATGGATGCCAATAAGATTCTGAATTGAAAGTTTACTTTTAAAAGGTGCCAAATGGTTCCATTGACAAGACCAAAGTGATCTGTGTGTTTTGTCGTTGTGAACTGAGCTATCATCATCGCAGCACGTCCAGTCTGAAATACCACTTGATGATGGCCAAGCACACACACACACACACACACACACAGCTGATGCGAATTCTCCGCCCCCTCGTCAATATCAGGACCTCGTCAGTATTTCTTTCACCCTTTTATTGATGGACAGTGTTACATTGTGTGAGAGATTATTTGCTCCAAGTGAGAATGTTAGTGTGAAATTGAACACAGTATATGCCAATGTTGTTTTCAATAAATAAAACATTTGCACAAAGCAAGCCGATCCACTTTTCCATGTTGATAAGAGCATTAAAATGAGAAAAAAGAATGGGACAAAAAGAAATCAAGAGACATTTAGAATAGATTAAAATGTGCGATTAATTGCGATTAATCGCGAGTTAACTATGACATTAATGCGATTAATCGCAATTAAATATTTTAATCGTTTGACAGCACTAATTATTTTGTATTATTGAATATATAATGGAAAGGTTGTACATTCAAATAAACAACTCTAACCCACATATGACATGCGGGGAAAACAAACAAAATATCATGGCCATGATTTAACTAAAATAAATCAAGAGAATTAATTAATACAACATGGCTACTATATAACTAGAACTGGAGGACAGCTGAATACAAAGTCGTGGAACATTCTTAATTCGAGGCCATGATGTGCAGGGCCCTGAATATAAAAAACTAGAAATGCACAAATATTAAAATTCTTGCTGATTGCAGGGTTATGTTTAAGGGTACGTTTACACGACAAGATGTACCAAACACAGAAAACGTTTTCCTTTGCGTTTTTCCAAGGGAGAATGTTGACAAAATGTTCCTCGTTCACACGGGTTCGTGAAAGCAACTAACAACGCTGTATTCTGCTGTCAGGCCAGTAGTTGGCGATGAGACTGAACACGTAATATGCATCGCACGGCGTCATTCTCCTACGTTGTTGACGTAGTGTAAACCATAGATATCATATAATAAAGGCTAGATGTCTTACGGCGGAGTCACTTCCGGCATCACCGTTCGGCCATCTTGTCACAGGCAGGCTCTGATGTAAGGTGAGTGATCAGCATGAACACAAATCCTCTTATCTCGCTGAAATATTGACGGATTTACAAACGCTTTGGTTTCTTACAAACGTTATTAACATGGCTATAATTCTGAATGCTTGAACATATATGTTATAATTATTCATATGTATGCAGTATCATAACTACATCTCTGACGTTTATAACAAACCAAACCGTTTGAAAATCGGTAGAAAATTGAGCAAGTTATGGTTATTTAAAAGTACATGCACCATTAAAACACAATGTTACGAGTGAGCGAGCTGCCTGTGACAAGATGGCCGCCACGTGCGGATGTCGACCTCCATTGGCCAGCAGCGCGGACGAGACATCTAGCCTTTATTATATGATATCTATGGTGTAAACAGCATTGCGCTTCCTGGTTCTACGTCAGAACGCCGCCTCACTGAACATGTGGTCGACGCTGGTCAGTGGTGAATCTCAGTACTTAAGTAAAAGTACAAATAACCAGAGACATATTTACTTTAGTGAAAGTAGAAGTATCACAATGACAACCCTACTTAAGTAAAAAAGTAAAAAGTACCTGATTTTAAATGTACTTTAAGTATTAAAAGTAAAAGTACTTGCATAACAATTTATTCTCTTAATGTCTATATTCTAATGATTAATAAAACAGTTCATCCTAACTCATTCAACCTAATACTCCTATAATGATGTTCAATAATGATGGAAAAGCCGTTATTTTTTAAGTTTCTGTCACCATTTCTGAACAAGCTTGCAATTAGGCTATATACACATCAAGCTTAATGTGACGGGGTTTGGCTGTAAACGCGATTCATTTATGGCGTAATTCTGATCCTCTTGGCTTGCCATACTAATCCTAACCAAACGTAGAATACACAGGCACCCCATACTAAATCTACCCTAACCTACCCATGCGTATCCTATGCACGTAAAAACAAATTTCCGCGTATAAATTGCACGATAAACTCACTGCGTGACCGGGTTGATATGGCAACCAAACTTCACTGGTGAGACAAACGTGCGACGAACGGACGGTCAGGATGACGTTTTGGCAGGGGAAAAACTGATCAGAAAATGTAATGAAAATGTAACAGAACATTGTAGAAATGTAGTGAAGTAGAAAGTATAATAATTGCTACAAAATGTAACAAAGTAAAAGTAATAAGTGCGCACTATTGATTCTACTTAAGTAAAGATACGTGAAAAATGTACTTAAGTAAAGTAACAAAGTATTTGTACTTCGTTACATTCCACCACTGACGCTGGTCACGTGAACACCACGACACATGCGTGTTATGCCGACGCAGGAGCTTGCGTAGGAGAATGACGTGGAAGAGAAGAGATTGTTGAACAAAGTCGTTATTTTGGGGGGGGTTTGTGCACAAAAAGTATTCTCGTCGCTTCATAACATTAGGGTTGAACCACTGTAGTCACATGGACAATTTTAACAATGTCTTTCCTACCTTTCTGGACCTTATAAGTTGCAATGATGTTGATTGGATTTCATCAAAAACATCTTAATTTGTGTTCCGTAGATGAACGAAGGTTTTATAGGTTTGGAATGACATGAGGATGAGTAATTACTGACAGAAATTTCATTTTTCAGTGAACTAACCCATTAATCATATATCAATATGTTAATTACGTATGTTTATTTTGATTAAAGATTAAGGTTTTAACTGAATGTAAGGCACCGCCAGAAGTTGGGACAAATCAGTGTTCCTTGTTCGAGACCATCAGGTCTCCCCGAAACCTTGTCGAAATGGACTGTCTCCAGGCACTGGAAGCTCCTCGTTGAAAGAGCCACTTGAGTGTGCGAGGCCTGTTGTGTATGTGCATGTCTGCGAGCGCACGAGTGTGTTACTTGAGGATTAGTCCTCTTATTGTGTGTGAGGGTACGAGGAGTGAGGCTGAAGCTCTGGCAGCTGGTACACCTCGCATTCAAGCAACACCCTCATCTACCACGCTCTTAGGAGCAGAATTCAGAGGATTAGCTGGCCGTAGGGAACGAAGAGGAGTGAGAGGGGTGAACCACGCAACCCAAAGAAGGAGAGGAGAACATAAAAGGGAAGACAAACAGAGAGGAGATGAGGGGGTGGAGGAGACACTGCCCATGTCTTTCACAACAGACAAAAGCTGCTTTTAATACACTCCGGATTAGCAACTACTGGGAAAGGTCAGCCCCCCTCACACCGTGTGACTGCGTGTGTGTTTGTGTCTTGCTTAACGTGGTAGGCAACCGGTAGCTCTGGTAAATCCATTGAGAACGCCATTGTACGGGAGGCGAGGCCATCCAAAACACCACAACGGATTCGGTTTCCTCAAAAATGCAGCAAGCATTTGTACCATTATACCTGTGTGAACTGGCTGAAGGATATTGGGGAAAATTACATTGCAATATTTTATTTTTCTGCGATTATATATTGCGATATGAAAAGATACAGGAATTTGAGTATCTATATTTGGAAAGAATTAATCATTCTAGAGTGAGTGTGGTGATATGCATAAGTGCATCTGCATAAAAAATACACATAATAATAAATTTAAAACATTACTTTTACTCTGAGGATATTTTCGAGTGCTGAATTATTTGGGGAAAACTTCCCGATGTTGTTGACCAATTCAATGTGACTATAAAATAATTCTTATTTTATTGTGACTATTAATAAATAAAGATATTAAACAAATTAAGAAAAACTTAATAACACTAGTTTCCTGTAAAATTACAATACGAATATTTACGTCTTAAATTCTTCGTTTTCAAATGTTAAACCATCAGGCTTTTATTTTCATTGTAATTATTATTAAATAAAAATATTGAACAATTTTATGAACAATTTTATTAGTTTATGAACATGTGCATTGAAAAAGAAAATGCATGACTTGTCAGTAATTATAAAAATAATATAAATGTAACTATAACTGTTCTTATAATGCAGTCTTAATGAGTCTTACTGATAGTAATACTTACTTATAAACAAGTATAAACAGAGCTATTATTCATTATAAGCATGGACTTCATAGAAACTGTTACCATAATGGTATTTTACTGTACAATTGTAATTTTAATTTATTCTTTTTAAAATGGTAAATCATCATTTTTGAAGGGTTGCCAGCAAATAAAATGATGCGCTGCCGGTTTCAGAATGAAGTGCACTACGTGTTCATTTACACACACACAGTCTGAAACCGCTGAGACCAGTAACGCATATATTATTTCATTAAATCACGATTTAATAATGGCACTAAGCCATATCACAATATCTATTTTATTTTGATATACCAATCAGCCCTAGTGTGAACGTTAGCTTGCTTGTCACGTATTTGGTTTAGCTGGTGTGTGTACGGGACGGGTGTGTCTTCGCTCCCGGCATTATGTAGAGGGAATAAAAGCCTTCGTCAGCGCGCAGAGGAAATGTCTTTGGACCTAAATGAGCTGTTTGGAAGTCAACGGATTCGACAGTCTCCCCAGAGTCTATTAGTG